AAAGGTCACACTGAAGGACTGATAAGCTCACAAGTTAACTTAAGGCTACAGGTTCCCCACCACCTGACCCTATTTAACATTATTTCACACTTCTTCTTTTTCACTGCATCAAGTATGGTCAAGCGCAAAGTAAACTCATTTGAAACACCTGCTGAAATAAATGCATTATCCAGTCTCCATCCCACCTAAAATAACTCATTTCCCTGTTTCTATCTCAATTTCTTTTTTTTCTTTTTTTTTGAGGTGGAGCCTCAAGCTATCCCCCTTGAGTAGAGTGCCATGGCATCATGCTCACAGCAACCTCCAACTCCTGAGCTCAAGCGAGTCTCCTGCCTCTGCCTCCCAAGTAGCTGGGACCACGGGTGCCCGCAACAATGCGCCTGGCCATTTTTTGGTTTCAGCCATCATTGTTGTTTGGCGGGCCCAGGCTGGGGATTCGAACCCACCACCTTAGGTGTATGTGGCTGGCGCCTTAGCCGCTTGAGCCACAGACGCCGAGCCTCTATCTCAATTTCTAGTGTAATTTTCTGGCTCCGTTGCCTTCAGCTAAGTAGACAGCAAAAGTATTTTCTAAATACTTCCTATATACATTTATTTATTTATTTTGGTAGTTGAACCTTATACAGATTTAAACACAGGAAATCCCTGGAGGAAAGGCAGGAAGATTCCACACTACTATCTAAGCTAGACATCTGGCAGGCAGTCAATAATTGTTCATCTATCTATTAATTTTTTTTACTACCTACAGCTGGCTGGGCGCAGTAGCTCACACCTGTAATACTAGCACTCCGGGAAGCTGAGGCAAGTGGACAGCTTGAGCTCACGAGTTCCAAACCAGCCTGAGCCAAACTAAGACCCCGTCATTACTAAAATAGAAAAACCAGCCAGGCGTTGTGGCGGGTACCTGTAGTCCCAGCTACGTAGGAGGCTGAGGCATTGAAGAATCACTTAAGCCCAAGAGTTTGAGGTTACTGTGAGCTCTGACACCACGCACTCTACCTAGGGTGATACAGTAAGACTCTGTCTCAGAAAAAAAAAGAAGAAAGGTGGCACCTGTGGCTCAAAGGGGTAGGGTGCTGACCTCATATGCCAAACCTAGCCCTGGCCAAAAACTGCAAAAAGAAAAAAAAAAGAAAAGAAAAACTGAGGCAAGAGGATCACTTGAGCCCAAGAACTGGAAGTTGCTGTGAGCTACAATGTCACAACACTCTACCCGGGGGAAGGTTTGAGACTCTGCCTCAAAAAGTGAAAAAATAAATAAACTACCTAAAGTTATAAAACATCAAATTCCCAAAAAGGAGAGCGTTGCTGAACTAATACCACCAATTATGCCTATCAAACTTCCAACTCAAGTAATGATTAGACTCATTAGTAGTGTTCTATATTGTACAATCAAGCACCCAAGAGGTATCTATTGAGATGCAGTCTGAACAACATTAAAAAATAGTATCTGCAAATACGACCGCAAGATCTCATGACAAAAGTTTCCCCTTTTTCATTAGCTGCTTAGCTTTGTATCTCAGACAAAGAAAAGCAAAAATAAATGTACTGGCTCGGTGCCTATAGCTCAACCGGCTAAGGCGCCAGCCATGTACACCTAAGATGGCGGGTTCGAATCCCCAGCCCGGACCTGCCAAACAACAATGATGGCTGCAACCAAAAAATAGCCGGGCGTTGTGGCGGGCGCCTGTGGTCCCAGCTACTTGGG